TACTTCAAATTTGATTCAAATTAATTAATAAAAAGGAAAGAAAAAGATCACTTCCATGTGTTTTTTTGTTTTTGCAGTGACCGGACATTTTTGATTGGCTGTGATTCAGATTTTTTATTCAGATTGGTTGTGGCAATTATGCGCCTGGTTAGGACAAAGTATTTCATTTTTATGTCTTCTGATGAACACATGCTTATGGAATATCAAATATATCCTATTCTGCCCTCACGTCATGCCACAGAACTTGCATTTGAAGTAGTTTTTACTTGAGATGTTTCTATTTTATTGTTTTACTTTGCTAGGTATATTGTGTTCTCGTAGAGAGTTGATGTTCTTTGTTATATGTCAAGCATCATTTGTTTGATTTCTGGTGGTCGATATGTAACTGTGATGTTTAGTATTCATATGTGGACCCTCGTCTGGTAGGAATCATAGACTTTGTCCATGTGCTCGGCCTAGATCTGACACCAGTTATGTTGTACCCAAGCCTTTCGGTTTGCTAGCTTGTCAGATTGATTCATAAAGCTGCGTGTTATGACTTAGGATGCCAATAGAGTTTTTTGTCGTTGTTGTCAAATATTTGTTTAAGCTTAAGTTGGATGCTCATTGAAGCACACAGTTGAGAAAGGCTCCTTCGACATTAGTCGCGTAAAACATTCCATTCCGGAAGGAGCCATTTCTGACGGCACTGATCTGTAGTCTCCAGTCTCTCTCACCTCACAGGGACCGGCCTGAACGACCAAATCTGGATTCCGCTGGCATTTAAGGACTTTTTTTCTTCCCACCAAAGAATTTCAGCATGTCATTAATGCACAGACGTGTCCCTTGCTGTAATGGAGAAGACAGAGTGAGTTTCACTGACACTTGGAAAATGAAAAACATTTTTAAAAAATACAGGTTAGATCAGGTCGGTGTCAGAAAAGAACCTGTAGATGGCAAAATAGAGATGACAAAAATAATGCACACTCATGAACTGAGTGCAGTTGCTGTTAGCACAGTATCATCTATTGTTTTTGTACCTTTCTCATACTTTTTGTCAGTGTTAGTGAGGACAAATCTCCCATTTTTGAATCTAAGAGGATTTGTGTGAGAAATAAGGCCCTTATATTTTGTTTTTTTTTAGAAATGCCAATCCCACATTAATGCTTTATTTCAGTTATTAAAGCTGCTGTGTGTAATTCTTATAAGAGTATAAACACTGAACATCGCTTTGCTTTCACACAGCAGCATTAGATCCACCAATGGTGTGCAATGTGGGTGTGGCTGTTAGTCCAACCAATTGAAAATTGGGGGTGTGTTTTGTTTTGTTTTGTTTTTTCAGTTCTTTTTGGTACCATTAGTGATGCATACATTCCACGTTGCAGCTTTAAATTTCAGCTTTTTTATTATTTTGGTTTTAGCTACATATGTAAGAATCGCATATATAAATTAGTGTTTCAAATAATGGCCTGTGAATTGAATCCAGTGTCGTTACCGTTTATGAATTGGTCACTAGTACAAAATGAATGTAAAATTTCAGACTAAACTATCTGACCAACACATCATGATTATGTTGGATTGCTCTGGCTAGTAATTACTTTCACTTGATCTAGCATTGATTTGACCCAAATTTGAATGAATTTTAATCCAAATTATGCAGTTTGATGTGTTTTAACTCATTTAAATCATAGAAAGCTGTATTGACGCTACAAATATATGAATTATGAACAAGTCAAGGTTGTTTTTTTTGCGATTCAGTTTGTCTGAACTGTATACGTTAATGAAGACAGTAATTTTAAGTTACCAAAATGCGCTAGAAAGAAGCATTAATGCAATTTACGATTTAGTTTTCCATCTTATGTAAAGATTCTGCCTTCTCTTTTATTAACTGCGCGTGAAGCTTTAAGGAAGTGTGAATATGTATTGTATTGGTGATTTTGGGGGTTTTGTTTCACATGTAGCTTCATGAATATACAACCTACAATCAAAATCCAACTTCCGACGTTACAGAAAGCGATGGATTTCCGCAATTATAAGGACTGAAAAACATTCCTAAACACTCATTGCCAGTCAAACCCTGGATGGCAACCAAATCAGCACTTGTAAAGCACACGATCATGAATTAACTCCAAGCTTGCAGAAATCACAATGGATTCTTGTTCTTTTTTGTCACTGAAGTGGTTCTGCTTGTTTTCATCTGATTTTTCTCGTATGTGTGGGCTGAAACGGAAGCATTAGGGGTTAATGTACCATTGAACTTGTGTATGATTGTGCTAAGAGGCCAAATATGACAATACGGCCATCTTCATACGTTGTTTTAGAACCCCAAAAAGCAAAACAATAATCGTTACGCCCAAGAACACTCATCGGTCAACTTTTTGTTGTTGTTTAATCTACAGCATAGTCTCTGTCAGGAGTGTGTATTACAGAGTGACATTACTACAAGCGTGTAAAACGTAACGTATTCTTCACACATAGTTACGAATCACCAGTGAACACAAGTGAACGTATTTGTGCAGAAACGTCACTCACGAGTCGCCACAGTAAACCCGTTATGTAGCTGTGATGCACTGTAGCCGTTTGTGCAGCCATCGAAGACGTGAACAATTTTCTACTTGCACAGCTGCAAACATTCACAGTCAAATGTAAAAACTAAATATTTTTCTACGATGTTTCAAGACCTAAGAAAGCATCCGACCCCTGATTTTTGTCAATTGCTGTATGGTTTTCTCAGTAGTGTGTATCACATTAGTTGTTGTCAAAGCTATTGTGTGCTGCAGTATTTCCAGGTATACTTCTTTGTTTATTGTCCTTTTTTATTATAATTATTATAATTTTGCTTTGTTTATTGGGGATTTGAAGAAGTGTGATGTCTCATTATTTCAATCTGTTAACGTAGCATTATATGTACCTTGTACCTTAGGCTAATATTATTAAGTATGCTATGAGAATGGATATTTTACTGGCTTTATAGAATGTTAAAATGAATATAATAATGAGAATAATAAGAATGATTTAACTCCTAAAAATTGAGTACTTGCTACTAAGCGCTTGTGTTACCATTACAAATGTTGTGTGCTTCTTTTAATAATTTTCGTTGTAGAAAAAAACAAAAAACCTGAGTGAATTTTATTAGGCTTCAACAACTAATGATAGCAGTGTAAATTCATGGAGGATTTTTAACAAACCTGGGGGTTATAGAAGAATATAGTTATTTTAATCGTTCTATTTACTAACTGTAGGGTGTGAAGGGGCTCGCGTCGTGGTGAACTATGTTATAGCTTGTTATTCACTGTTACTTTTGATCATTTTTCGGTCTCCAAGGTGAATCGAGTTATTAAAGGAAATTTGTATGCTCACATATGCATATTGTATATGTGTAGAAATGTAATCACACTTTGTCTTGGATTTACATTAAACTGTTAAGTCACGGCATCAGTCTTGTATTTTCATGCTGTCATTGTGAGTTTCTTTCCTTCTTTTTTTATACTACAAACATTTTTAAAAAGATGCATTTATCTATGCATTTGTGCACTCTAACCAGACATTTTAGAAACCACCAAAAACAATGCTGGTGAACCAAAACTCATTACCCTTTTATAAAAGAATAGTAGTGTGAAGATTGGGGCTATAGCTGTTACAGTAAGAAACTATATTTCAGTAATTTATAAGATTTTGAGGTAAAAAAAAAAAAAATCTAAATATTCAAATGCGTATTTTCTCTAGCAGTGGTTTCATTCTATCATTTTGCATGTGATTTCATTATAATATTCATAATATTTTCAGGTGATATTCTCTGGAATATATATATATGTATGTGTGTGTGTGTGTGTGTGTGTATCCTTTTTAAAATGTTTTGTGTGTGTTATATTACTACTGTATTTTTTCATAAAGTCATGAAGACATACTCTAGAATAAATATAAAATAAACATGACTTTTTTTGGGCTTAAACCCCTTAACTGTCACTCACATTTTTGAACATAAGACGTGAAAGTGCACGATCCAAACTTACATTTGTATAATTCATGAACGAAAACATTTTGTAACATGATATTGATGCTCCATTTTCATGGTAATGCAATGTTTGATTTTAAAATGGGTTTCAAAGGATGCATTTTGAGATTTTAAGTTTTCAACTGATATACAATTTCTGATGATTTCTAAAGTGTGATCGAGAAAAAGGCAACGAAGAAGACTTTTTGTGACAAAGGTCAGAACTCCTGTTACGATGTAGATTTTTGAGGTGCACACACTTGTCAAAAATGTATCTATTACTTTTCCTACATCATTTTTAACAAAGACATTGGTAAAATATCTATTTAGGAGTGTTAGACCTTTCCAACGATATAGTTTGTCATGATTAGATTAGGATTTAATTGTAATACAGTGAAGTAAATTTAGGCGTCCCACAGAGGGGACGGGTGACAGTTAAAGGGTTAATCTGTTACAAAGCTTTGGATGTAATTTATGTTCATATTGTTTGTGTACAAAAAAATTGAGTTGCACTTTATTTTACAGTTCGTGCACTTACCTGCACTTACAGTGTACTTTAAGAAAGTACTAGATAATATAAGGTAACTACATAAATTAGGGTTAGGTTAAGGGTAGGTTCGGGGTTAGTACCTAGTCATTAGCCAGTTACTGTAATTACTATAACAAGTACATAGTATGTGCGGAACAGGGCTGTAAAATAAAGTGCAACCAAAAGTTGCCCTCATGGCCACTAGATTGTGCTGTGACATAACCAAATCATACATTCGTGTACAGAATCGTTTAACAATAATGGGATCTCCTCACGTGTAAAACCTTCCCAAACAATGTTCTACTTGGTTTAGGTGAAAATGTTGCAGCCACACAAGATCCGGTAACAAAATGCGTTGCTGTGAAACCCCAGCCGCCGGCGGAGGTGTCAACCTAACCCGGATTACTGAAGGACGGCGCGGGGAGCCAATGACCGTAGAGCCCATGCAAGAGACTCCAAGTCCTGCTGTCAGGGGAGGATTTAGTGCAATCCCGAACACAGAGTGGTTGCATCTGAGAAAGTGAGTGATGCTCAGACAGGATCCAGACACGTAAGGGGAAAAAAAAATCACTCGATGTGTCATGCAATTATGCAAAACAGAAGCTTTAATCCTGATCTGAAACTGGATATGGACGCTATCGATTTAGGACCGTTCTAACGGTCTGCTCTGACGGTAAGGAGTTGCTTTTCTAGGCTGTGCATGTGCTAAACGTCTTTCTCTGATTTCAAATAAACTAATATAAATCCGATTCAGACGTAAGATTACGTTTCTAGACGTATATTTTGCAACAAGTTAACTGCATCGTCAATGAATCAAGTTATATGGACGGCGACTGATAAAAGACTCATACAGCAACACATCTGAAAGAGTATGTTCTCTAGCGAGTCTCAATAGATAGTTCAACTAGGTGTAATAACGACGAGAAGTCATAACATTAAAAACCATTTCTCTCATAACCATCACGAAACAGTTACTGGAAATCCCGACTAGAAGCCTAATCCGCGTGCAACAAGCGCGTTGACCGGGGCTTTAACGCACCCGGATGAGTTCACACACCTTCACGTTGATTCTAAGGCATGCAGTATAGTATGTCTACGTTTAAGTTTTGTCTTTTGGAAAGCTGCACATTATGCAAACTATGTTTGGATCTTGCTCCGTGAGATTCGGTTCGCGTGTTAACGCACGGCAGACATGTCCGAATCCTGAACGAATCGCTTTTGTGAACTGAATATTTTTAATGAATCTTTTGAACCGGTTTAAAAGGATTCGTTCGCGAATCTGCCTGTCTGAATCGGTCCTGGCGGTTCTCGACTGTGCGATTCGCCGACTCATTTGAATAGAGACTCATCTTTTTCGTATATGTCCGAAGTGAAATATTACCTTTATTTGACCCTCTAACTCGAACACTTTCTATTCTATTATAATTCTACTTTATCTATATTTATCTTTTTCATTTTTTTGTTCTTTATTTAAAAAAAAACAACAACGACAAAAAACAAACACTAGCTTTCTATTTTTTTCTATTCTATCTACTTGTTCTTCTTTGTTTGTGTGTGTGTGTGTGTGTATAATATATATGTATATATATATATATACACCTTGCTACGTGTACTGCGTTAGGCTAACCAAGACTTGTCATTTGCACTTATATATTGTTGCTCTTTTGTTAGTTTTGACTGCTTTTATTGTCCTCATTTGTAAGTCGCTTTGGATAAAAGCATCTGCTAAATGACTAAATGTAAGTGATATTAAACATTTGGAGTTATTGAGGATTTGATAAATGTAACAAAGTTACTTTAATAGTCGAATAGCACAAATTATCCAAATAAAACGACTTGTATGTGTGACACAGACACATACAGAACAGACTGGATCATGTCTGCTTACAAACAACAAGGACTTTACAATTAACACACTTATCTTATTCGTAAAAATGGAATAAATAGCCGTAAATACCGACAGATGACCTTTATTAATTTAATGCCACAAGAACATGAGGTATTACATATTCACATGCTCAAATTAACATTATTAGCTGCCAGAGAAATTAAAAAAAGGAAGAAAATTACATAAAGTTCAATGCTTTCAGAGCATTACATGTTTTCAATGCTTTTTTGTTTTTTGTTTGTTCTAAGAGATTTACATGTCATTTATAAAATGTCCAAAATTTGGTTTACATTGAGCCCACTTCTTCTTATGTATCTGGAATTTTCCTAACAGAATAAACAAATGTATAATATGTACAATTCAGATGTTCGTTTTCTGTATAAACAAGTACATCAAATTTCTATCATACACTCTATTTTTCTGTTCATATAGAATTCCAAATCCTTCCAAAATAATCTCGAGTAAATACAATGAAAACCCTACAGATGACTTCACTAGAACGTTATGAGCGTTTAATATGTCTCGACCGGATGGCAATAACGCCGTTGTTCTTTGAGTCGGTTCTTTGAAACGAATCATTCAAAAGAGTCGATTCGTGGAAATGAGTCGGACAAGTTAAGGAACAAAGGAGCCGTGAGTTCCGCGCTCTGCACAAGCTCTTGTAGTGTCACTCAGTCAGCATGGCAATTCACTTTAGTGGTTAAAATCTCCAGCTGCGGTTTCTAGGCATGTGCAAGATGTCATTTGTTCGGTTTATGATTAAATCGTTAGATTTGGTTACGGGAGTATTCACGAAGTCGTGCTGAAAATGTGACCTATATAAGAGTGGTATTGTTTTCATCTGCTGCAGTTCACGGCGACTAGTTAATCTCTCCTCGGATCATCTTGGACGAAACATGAGTTTCACTAAATGGAGGGTCTAATGATGGAGGGACGTAGTCGGGTCACCGCGTGCGTGCTGCTGATGTTCGTCTCCATGGTGATCGCTGATTCACCTGCTGCAGGTAAGTGATGTCGTGCTCTGTTCATTTGGCATGAGTGATCAGTTTGCAGCCGGTAACTGGATGAGTTTATTGGCACGATGACAGGAATTACGCCAAAGTTTTAAGGACAGTGTAAAAACATTTTGGTAATTTACACGCGTGTCGGATTTTCTAACATGATGACAAATGCCTTTTCAAAATGAATACGGTCTGCACAAATCATAATTATCCTTGATTAGATATTGGATATTGATTGGAAACACACAACAACAACAACACATGGTTTCCGTCCATTTTAGGCAGTGTTGAGGAAAGTTACTTTTAAAAGTAATGCATTACAATATCGCGTTACTCCATAAAAAGTAACTAATTACGGTACTTAGTTACTTTTTATGGAACGTAATGCGGTACGTTACTTCTGCGTTACTTTAAAAAATCTGGACAGGGCTTGCTTGTTTGTTTTTAAAATAAAAAAGTTATATTTTTGGCAAATATAAAAGCCGTTTCACACCAAAATTGAAATGAATAAGCCTCAGGCTGAAGGGAAAGTACATGTACATCCGTACAGTAGAATGCAGAAGAAGAAATTTCAACACACTTCAGCAATAAAAAAGACACACAAATGTTTGTCTAGAGTAATTTTTGCTTATTAGTACGGTTGAACTGGATCATCGAAGGTCAGAAGCAAAGACATTGGTTAATAGAATGGGATACATAAAGCATATTTGTGTTGTTTAACATTTAATTATTGCTGGTTTGCGTCATATTCTGAGTTGCATTATTTTTATTCATTTTGAGGAATACTGAATCTATTTTTTTTTTGTGAGTGAGAATGCATATTCATATTTATTTTAGAACTACAGTAACATCTTCTGATTTCTCTCAACATGGGGACAGGAGAGCTGTCAATCAATAAATTGGAAAAAAAAAAGTAACTTGCGTTGCTTATTTGAAAAAGTAACTCAGATATTCTCTTGTAAATTAAAAAGTAATGCTTTACCCCCAACACTGATTTTAGGGTTAGGTTAGTCTATTTTTCTATCATAAGTCTGCTCACATTATACTGTATAGTTAGTTGCATTTTATTATTTGCATATTTAACATTGTTTTTCCCCTACTGTCAATTAGTTTATGGGAACAAACCTTAATTTGACCTATTTTGTGGCTATGTAATTGCTTTACGGCTTTGCTTACACAATTCAAGTAAATATTTAAGGCCTTAAGTTGAATTTTCAACTGTAAGAGACTCATCTTTCAGAATCTAATTTTTTTAAACCAAGGTTGAAGGCATCTTTTAGTCTTTGAAACTCTAATTTCTTAGTCTAGTCTCGTCTAAGGTTTTTGGAAATTATCTTTAAAATGTCCACTTTAGTTAAAAAGCAGACCAGATCCTCTACAGTTTGTCAACATGATGACGAAAGACTGCTTTTTCTAGCTTAGGTGGAACTTCGTCTGCATTGGTTTTAGATTTACCCTAATCCATGTCACGAACTCAAGCTTGTTGTCTTGAAACCCAAGCAATCCCCTACATTTAGAGACCACTGTACTGGATTAATATAATTTTAAATAACAATTTAGGGTAGATTACAAGACTGGTCTTGCCAGTATGTTGAGGAATTTTTGGATCAAAGAGCTCTATGAAGACAAAATAAGAACAAAAAACTGGGCTACTGGGGGAAAAAATCATGCAGCTGGATGCTTTTTGTTGGTAGAAAGACATCTTTAGATGGAATTTGATTCATTTATATATTATAGTGTTGTCCCTAGTGCAAACTCATTCATTTTTAAATAAAGTGTGTTGATCATTCATTCAAGAAGATTCTTGTAGATCAGTTTTCAGAGTAAACTTGACTGCTATGTGTTTCATCCTATTACCCGTCCGTTCATGCTGAAAATCAATATATTAGGAGCATATAATTGAGTGAAGTGCGCAGTGTTGACAGTCCATTTATATCCATTTCAACATATCGCAAAGCTGTATAAAAGAAATGATGTGGAATAGTGTTTATTTTCGGTGATACACTTCTTTGATTCTTAAAGGGATAGTTCACCATAAAATAAAAGTTCTGTCATAATTTATTCACCCTTGTGTCAGTCCATACCTGCATGACTTTGGAAACAAATCAGCTGGAACAATTGGATCAACTTCCATGGTATAGACATTTGTCAAAATACCTTATTTTAGTACCACAGACGAAAAAGTCATACAGTTTTCGAACAGCTTGAGGTGAGTAAATTCATTTTTGGATGAACTATCCCTTTAAGACAGGACCATATCTCATATTCAAATCCATCAAAACATGTCATAGATACCAGCTAGGTCAGTCTGTTGTGACAATTTATTCCGTCTCGATCTGTCACATTCAGAACCTGAAAGGATCTTGTCAGTTATGTGGCTTCTCTGAAACTGAGACAGAATCCTTCTTCTTGTGATCTGAGAAAGCCTGACATAAGAAACCCTTGAAGGCTAGGGAACGATAGAGAGCATGAAAACGGGGTTAAGTTGGGCCAGCGCCTTTATTTAAAATATATAGGTAAAAAAAAATTATTTTTGTCCAGAATTTATTTTTCCATGGGAGCTGTCTAGTCTAGGTTCAATGAGTCAATACAAAGGTTATAATTATGCATGTAGTCAATTACCACATATTTGCCAGTTTTTAAGGGAAAGGTCTCGTATATCAGGCACATTTATATGATGCAATATAATTGCTACAGTTTATCGGCTGCTTCCATCATCTGCTAGCTCACAGCTGTTTTTGTCTGACTCCATGCATTTTGAAATTGCTCTGCAATTTTATACTTCATCTTGGCACTGTGATGTAGGTCAGACAGTTTTTTTCCCACTACATAATGATGGGAGAGGCTAGTCATAATTAACATTAAAGGCATTAAACAGATCTGTGAAGAGCTGACTGTGTGCATCTCGTGTTTTGAGCACATGTTGCTGGTTTTGAGCAGAAGCGGTGGTGGGCGGTAGGACTGTGTATCACCAGCAAAGTCACGATACGGTACATATCACGATACAGAGGCCACGATGCGATACGTATCACGATACGGGACTGCACTGAATTTCACCTTAGCAGAATTTAGTAAAACATCTGTTTATTAAACACTGCATACTATAGTGCCATTTCTAACTATTGGCAGAGCAGGCAGTTGACCTCTGCATTATGAAGGGCCTCCATAACTGTACCACAGTACAATATAGGTAATGACATGTTTCATGTTTACAGTGGGCACTCCCCACCAGGTACAATATTCTGATTGTTAGCATCTTGTTTTTAAGAACATAAATAATAATGTGCTCGTTCTAATAAATTTATATTGTAATGTACTCATTCTAATATATTAAAATTATCTTAACATTGCTGGTAGGTTATCATTGCACAAATCAACACTCTCTATGTTTAAAAAATAAAAATGATAAGAGTTCTAAATTAATACACTGTCTTCACACTCACAGTATCTCACGCACACACCTTTAGTCAGATCATGTTTCACAGACATTCTTTTTAGCATTGACCCGCAATTTTATCAATAAAATAGCTTAATCGCTGAAGAGCTACATTAGCTTTCTCAACAAGAAGCTAATAACATCATCGTTTCTAAAGGAATTAAAGCCACAGCTTCACTGTTAATAGAGAAACGCGGCAAAACGGTGGTAATTCATACATACACAGCCTCGCTCTCTCTCTCTCTCTCTCTCTCTCTCTCTCTCTCTCTCATGAATGAACACTTGATGAATTACTTTTTTCTGAGAAGAGAATATTGAAGTGGAGATTGCTAAACTGCAAGCTAACCAGTGTTTTCAGAAAGCAAGCACTTTTATCCACAGTGGAGAGAGAGCGTGTGTGCACATGGTTGCCAGGTTGATAAAGATAAGTAACACACTTAGCAGATATTTCCGTATTGCGCAAGTGGGAAGCTCTGTTTCGGGGATTACGTCTCTTTTATATCAGACAACCCCAGTTGTGTTCCTCTGCGGCCAGATTAAACCTTGTTGTACCCTATATATTATGCTCTATTCATAATTTTTTTTAGAAACCTTGCACTTTTCTACTCCATTTTGTGTTCTTGTATTCAAATTAAGCGCGGCCCACTGCAGCGCACATGCCACGATATCGATACTGGGACAGCTGTATCGATACATGTATCGTCAGATCTCAGTGATGATACATCGTCGTATCGATGTATTGGACACAGCACTAGTGGGCGGAGCCATCAAACTCCGCCCAACGATTCACAATAAGCTGTGCTAATGACAGTGAGTTTGTGTGTATACAAATTATGATTTCTTTTAATTTTGGTTAAATTCCCAGCTCTCTCAAAGGGTGATATAGAGACAGCTTTCCTTGGTATAGTTTCCACAGCCTCGACTGTTGCTTTGACTGGCATCTAAATGATGTGGATGTACAGAATTTAACCTTGAAAGCTTTTTTTTGATAGGTTTTATGGGTTTGGAACAACATATGGGCGAGTAATTAATGACAGAATTTAAATTTTTGGGTGAACTATCCCTTTAAGCTTTTTTTTTTTATCATTAGAGTCCTAGGATTTCCACAGTGTGGAAAAAGCAGACAGAATCACAGAATCCAGTCATAAAAATGGAACTTACAGTACACAGAATTTATTTGATTGGCCATGGTTTTTGATTATTAGAATTTAATTAAACTATTAAAATGGAATCCAGAAAATGAAAATGGAAACCACAGGGAAAAATAAAAAAGAATTTATGAGAAAAAAAAAATGTAATTTTTGTGGAACTTTTAGTATATTGTTGTTACATTGTGTAAGATTCATGATTTCAGTTATTTAGACATGCTTTTTGATAACAAAAATTAAATGGAACCATTAAAATGGAACCCAGATCACTTAAAAACAGAATAAAACAGAATCCAGAAAATTTTAAGTGCAAAAAACAGAATATTGGTGGGGGGGGAAGGTGTTTGGTCTTGTGCAGATCAGAACAATATAGAAGCTTCTGTGAGTGGAAAGTAACTTGATATCCTCAGTAAGCTGTG